TGAATTAGTAGAATTTCTAAATACAATAAAATAAATTGCACATAGCAGTTATGACCGTATATTCCACTGCCTATCCTAATTCCCCACCCATAAAACCCCTATAACCACAGTTTTCGTAGGATAAAATGCTGGGACTAGGTGTAAGTGAGGTGCACTACTTAAACTACTGTTGCCCACTATTTTTCTACATCTACATCAACGGTGCGGTTAAAAGACAAACTAAGATAGTTAACCTTCTGGGATTGCTGAGGCTTTGAAGATTTTTCCTCACAAAAAAGAATTGAGAGGAAACTGCGTATTTCATCAACAAAACGTAAGACTAGCAAACACCCACACTGCTGGGATGTCAACATAGAATGGCCACCGATGATGAGGTGACGCCTTTCAACCCTTCGCACAGCACGCATGACGGCCAGGTTGCGTTTAACAGACACGATGGCATCGTGGTAAGGCAGCTAACGTGCCTGTATCATATCACTCCTGAAGTGAACTGGCTTACGAAGCACAGTCAGACCAAATAAAAATTATAGACTGGGCTAAAAGATAAAGCCGTTGTGAATGGGTCGTTTTTCAAACTTTGCGCTAAATAGTAGGCGAAATATTTGGTTAACGTAACGAGCTCCCGGATAATAGAGGAGTGCACGCACTATCAGTATACTGTTGCCGATAAGGATGAATTATGGCACTGCCTAAACAGGACGCGCGAATAGAAACGCCCAACGTGAGTGCTAAAGATTGAGAAGACTAGTTTGGCGAGCCTCCATATACTTTCAATAAATCCTCGTCAGGTCGGTACGTTTATATGAGAACGGGGGCGGGAAGTGAAGTCGAGAACATAAACAGCTCTATTCTGGCGCACATGGTTGATTTCACACATCGGGTGGACCCCGACGAAGCTTTCCTAGGGATCTATAAGGTCTCATCAAATTATCCAAAGTCCGTGGGTCAGCGCATGCTAGCAACAGCAGCAGAAGCGACCCCTATTAGGTTCATGAAGCCGGCGTTGTGTGCACAAAAGAACTTCCTACAAGCTCCACATCTGGCGTGGCCCACAGTCACTCATGCATGCACTCATCCGTGCTCTGTTTGTCTCCCACCCCTCCCTAGACTGGCTCCACCAAGCCCTGCCTGCGTAACCACCTTTCTCTTATAAACCCCTTTTCCGATTTTCACGACTCGCTTGTAAGAAAAAACGAACACTATTGATCGCTTGTTTAACTTTTACCCCCCCCTCTCATATAAATGTACTGGCCTGACGAGAATTTATCGAAAGTATACGTACGC